TTTATTTTTTTATATTTATGATTTTTACAGAGAGAAGGGATAGGGATAGAGAGTAGAAACATCATGAGAGAGAAACATCGATCAGCTGCCTCCTGCACACTCCCCACTGGGGATGTGCCTGCAACCCAAGGTACATGCCCTTGACTGGAATCGAACCTGGGACCCTTGAGTCCGCAAGCTGACGCTCTATCCACTGAGCCAAACCAGTTAGGCGTTTTTGAACTCTTTAAATATGACTTAACTACAACAGTATTACTTGCTTTAACATTGAGTTTCTATTAAAGTTATATAAACTCATTATTATTATTTTTAAAAAAATATATTTTTATTGATTTCAGAGAGAAAGGGAGAAGGAGAAAGAGATAGAAACATCAATGATGAGAATCATTGATTGGCTGTTTCCCGAGCAACCCGTACTGGGAATTGAGCCTGCAACCTGGGTATGTGCCCTGGCCAGGAATTGAACTGGTGACCTTTCGGAGCAGAGGGCACACTCAACCAATTTAGCCACACTGGCCAGGGCTTAATCTTTTTTAATTGGAGGTAAAAGAAGACATTGTTCTCACTTTCAAGAGAATACAATTTGAGTAAAGTTAGTCAACTATATTAAGTGTTGTTTGCCAGGAAAACAGGTTGAGTATCTCTGTCTTGTTTGTGAAAGAAAATTATTTCAAGTCCCACCTGGGTATTTGCCTCCAAAGACCCTTTATTTTACTTTTGGTCTTGCTTGACAAAACTAAAACTGGTTAAATGGTGAATACACATGTACTCGGTCCTGGGCTTCAGGGGACACTGTAAACCTTATTAATTATAGTGTCTTCTGAGTACTTTGATCCATCTTTTAGTAAAAATTATGTTGTAAAAGACTTTTCATTGGAAAATTCTTTGGTTTATTGACATTTAGCAGTTGATACTACATTTAGAATGGACTTTCATTGGAGTTCACAGCTTGGGATGGCCTAAATCATTCTGAATCTTTAACCCACTGATATCTGAATTATTTAATAGCTGGTTTAGCCATATTCAGTTTCAAAGTGCTTAATGTTGTTAGTGACTTATTTCTAAATAATAATGTAAAATTTAAATATATTGCTGTTGATTTATAGTGGTTAGTTTTCTATATGATTTGAGTGGTTCTGACAAATTTTGTAAGCTTATGCAGATGGTACCATGAAATATATTAATACGTAGGAAATATTTTCTTTTATTTTGTGTGCAGTGTGTGTGTGTGTGTGTGCGCACACGCATGTAGATGTAAAATAAATGGAATACAAGAAAAAATATAATGGAAAGAAGTTTTATAAATATTAATTACCCATGAAAGACATAATGGGGGATAAAAAACTATTTTTCATAGCAACTTGGGAATAACCTTAACAATCTGGATTTGATGTTGGTTCTGACATTATTATGCCACCTTGGAAGATTCTTGAAACCAGTGCACAAACATTAATGTGTATTAGTATCATCTGGAGAGCTTGCTATAATGTAGATTTTTATTCAATAGGTCTGCAGTGTAGCCAGAAAGTATGCATTTCTTTTTTTTTAATGTTTTTTTTTTTTTAATTGAGTTTTAGAGAGAGAAGAAGGGAGAGGGATAGAGAGATAGAAACGATGAGAAACATTAATCAGCTACCTCTAGCACGCCCCTTACTGGGGATCCAGCCTGCAACCTGGGCATGTACCCTGATAGGGAATTGAACCGGTGACCTCTTGGTTCATGGGTTGACGCTCAACCATTGAGCCACACCGGCTGGGCCAGAAATTCTGCATTTCTAACAAGTTCCCAGGTAATGCTGGTGCTTTGGTCTAAGGACCATTTTTGGAGTTGTAGAGATTTATACTGAGTTTCCTGTTTCCCCAACTTTAAAATAGAGATAATAGTAGAACTTAGCATTTGGAATGTTAGATGAGAATGTATGAAAAGTTCTTTTTATAATGACTAGTATGTTGTGAACACGGTTAATATTGTTGAAAAATTAATAAATATGGATTATTTTATATTTCTGAATGAGAAAACTATATACTGTAAAGATGTTATTTCTTAGCAAAGAGTCACAGAGGTTTGAGACTACTAATGAAAAGCCTTTTAACCTCAGGGATACCATTTGCTACTTGTTTCTGAAGGTCAGTGTGTAACCACACGGGCTTAAACTAGCTGTAAACAAGTTTGGGAACCCATCTATTTCCTGCTTTAGGAGATTCTGCACCAAACCCCACTCTCTTGACTTATACTTTGGGAGCTGCCTCTGAGAACACCTTGTGGCAAGGAATGGCAGGCAGCCTCTAAGAGCTGAGTGACTGCTGGCCAAGAGCCAGCAAAACAGAAAGGAACTGAAACCTGCCAACAAATAAGCTTGGTAGTGAGCGTGGAAAAGAACCCCAAACCTCAGATGACTTCACAGTCTGAGCTGACAGTTTAATTTCAGCCTCATGAGACCCTGAACAGAAAACCCAGGTAACTAACCCATGTCCAGAATCCTTCCACACAGAAACTGAGATAAATTTGAGTTGTTTTCACCTAAGTTTTGTAATAAAACATAATCATAAAGTAAATTTGTGTTGGGGCTATATAATAGCAAAATAGTAATAATCCTGAAATTTGGTGGAGGGGGGGACTCTTTCAGGGTTGGTCTTGGAGGTTTGACCTGGGTAGTTAAGGATGATGGATAAAACATTTAGAGGTGAGTATGGGTAAAGGCATTCCAGGCAGAGGGAAGACTGAAAAATGTTTGATGCATAGCTAATTTACCTTGGAGTATTGTGAAGCGTAGTGAAAAATAAGACCAGGAAAGGTAGGTTTGGGCCCAAATGTGGAGAGTCATAGAAGTCGGGCTGACAAGTATTTTTATTCTAGGAGTCAGAGAGAGTTTTTATGCAGGTGATAACATCTGTGTTTCCATCTAATTGGGCCATTTGTGGGATTTATTGTAGAGGACTGAAGAGTAGTTGTAGAGAGCTTTTGAGGGTTAGAGTAGGACTCTGAATTAAAAGGATGGGCCCTGGCTGGTTCTAGGTTAGGATTGGTGTGTTATTTTTTGCTCTACTGATGTTGAATTTAAAATAAATTTAGTTATAGTAATATGTAACATAGGTTTCCTAGTTCACAAAAATTTCATGAATTATTTAAATTATAGAAATTAAATTAATTTGGATTGTAGAGAAAAAACTCACTATCATCTGACATAGTATAGCTTAACATTTTGGGACTTCTAGTCTTTGATACAGTTTTCTATGTAGTTGTAATCAATCTCTTTCTGTTTCTAATCTGCTTTTTTATGTATTAAGAGGTATCTTATGTGTCATTTTCTGAATCATTGATACAATCGTTTGCTTTTAATTTTTAGACTACTAATATGGTAGATGACATTAGTTTCCAAATTTTGAATTGGCCTTATGTTCCTGGGGAGGAGGGAGTGGCATCTCACTTGGTTGTGGTATAATATACTTTTATATATTGCTGTATTTGCTAATATTTTGTTGAGGACATACACAGTTATGTTCATGAGGGATATTAATCTGTAGTTTTCTTGGACTATGTCTGGGTTTTGGTATCAGGATAATGCTGCCTCATTTAAAAAGCTGGGAATTCTTCCTCCCAATGTTATTTCCTGAAAGAGATTATAGTTGATCCTCATTACTCGAGGGTTCAGTATTTGTGAATTCACCTACTTGCTAAAATTGACTCTTAACCCCAAATCAATGCGCATGACACTTTTTGTGGTCATTCATGGACATGTGCAGAGTGGCAAAAAATTTGAGTCACCTGATGCCAACATTTCCAGCTGAGGTCCCTGCTAAGGTCGAGCAAGGTGATGCGCTGCCTTCTTGTTTCAGTTCTCATAGTGAAAACATGTTTTTTGTTTTTGTGTGTGTGTTTTAATGGTTTTATTGATTTTTTTAGAGAAAGAGGAAGGGAGAGAAATACCCTGTATATTATGTTAGTGGCAAGTGCTATGGGGAAAAATAAAGCAGGATAGCTAGGAAATGCTGGGCTGGGTGTTTGCAATTTTTAAAATTGACTTCAGAGAGGAAGGGAGAGGGAGAAAGAGAGAGATAGAAACTTCAATGATGAGAGAGAATCATTGATCGGCTGCCTCCTGCAGGCCCCACACTGGGTTTGAGCCTGCAACCGGGCATATGCTCTGACCGGGAATTGAACCATGACCTCCTTGTTCATAGGTCAACGCTCAATCACTAAGCCACACTGGCTGGGCTACCATCTTAATCATTTTATTACACTTAATACTACTGAACTGTACACTAAATCTCTAGAACTTTTTCCATCTTGTAGAACTGAAATACTGTAGACATTAATTTTTCATTTCCCCTCTCCCCTCATAGTCCCAGGCAACCACCATTCTACTTTCCATTTCTATGAGTTTGAGCTACTCTAGATATATCATGTAAGTGAAATTATACAATGTTTGTCATTTCATGATTCACTTATTTTATTTAGCATAATGTCATCAGGGTTCCACCATGTCATAGCATGTGTCAGAATTTCCTTTTTTTTTAAAATCCTCATCTGAGTATATTTTTCTTTGATTTCTTTTAGAGAGAGTGGAAGGGAGGGGGAGAGACAGAGAGAAACATCGATGTGAGAGAGACCTTTATTGGTTGCCTCTTGCATGCACCTTGGGAAGCAGCCGGGGATCGAGCCTGCAACCCGGTTTTATGTGCCCTTGACTGGAATCAAACCTGGGACCCTTCAGTCCTTGGGCCGTTGCCCCAACCACTGAGCAATACTGGCCAGGGCAGAATTTCCTTTGTAAGTGTGTGTATGTTGTACGTGTGTGTATACCACATTTTGTTTATCTATTCATTTGTCAATGGACACTTAGTTGGAATTCAGGCCATTTTCAGTTACAAACATGACTTCAGTAAATAATATATATTTGTGTCCTTGTGAGAATATCCTATATAATAAAAGGCTAATATGAAAATCGACCAAACAGCCGAACTACCGGTCACTATGACATGCACTGACCACCAGGGCAGATGCTTAACGCAGCCTCTCCCATCTCTGCGGCAGCACTAAGGATGTCTGGCTGATGGCAGGCCTAAGCCACCAGTCGGACATCCCCCGAGAGCTCCTGGACTGTGAGAGGGCACAGGCCAGGCTGAGGGAACCCCCCGCCCCCCTGTGCATGAATTTTGTGCACTGGGCCTGTAGTAGTCATATAATTTTTATATTGGAACTAGAGGCCCAGTGCATGAAATTCGTGCATGGGTAGGGTCCCTAGGCCTGGCCAGCGATCAGGGCCGATCTGTGAGGCGACCGGCGGGGTGATCAGGGGGGGCCCACTGGCACCCACCTTGGCCGGCCTGGCACCGCCCACTTGCTGGCCCTGCCCCCTGCCGCCAGTCCCGGTCACCTCCCTCTGTGGGGCGACCGGCGGGGTGATCAGGGGGGCCCCCCCGCTGGCACATGCCACGGCTGGCCTGGGGCCTGCGGGCTGGGATCAGTTCCTGCATTGAGCGTCTGTCCCCTGGTGGTCAGTGTGTGTCATAGTGACTGGTTGTTCTGCTGGTCGTTCTGCCCTTTGGTCAATTTGCATATTAGGCTTTTATTAAATAGGATTGTTAGGTCAAAGATATATCCATCTAAGCCAAATTGTGCTTCAAAAAGGGTTGTATCATTTTACAGCAGTGAATAACAGTATTTACTCCTCACATCCTAGACTTTTAGTCATTTTCACCTTTGTCAATTCAGTGGGTGAAAAAAAGCTGGTTTGATTTTGATTCTATATTTGTGATAATATGACTGTTGTTGAATATCTTTTTAGATGTTTACTGACCACTTGTAGTTCTGTTTCTCTTTATATCCTTCGTTAGTTCTTTATTTTGTATTGTTGGTGTTTTTCTCATTGATTTATAACAACTTACTCTGTGTGTGATATGTTTTCCTTTTTTTCCCTAGTTTTTAGCTTTTGTTCATGGGCGTGCATGTGCATACATGTAGTACCAAGTTTTTCATTTGGAAAAATATTTTTTATATATATATATTTTATTGATTTTTCACAGAGAGGAAGGGAGAGGGATAGTGTGTTAGAAACATCAATGAGAGAGAAACATTGATCAGCTACCTCCTGCACACTCCCTACTGGGGATATGCCCGCAACCAAGGTACACGCCCTTGACCGGAATCAAACCTGGGACCCTTGAGTCCGCAGGCTGACGCTCTATCCACTGAGCCAAACCGGTTAGGGCTTGGAAAAATATTTTTTACTAGTGGCCTGGTGCATGAAATTTGTGCACATTAAAGGGAATTAATTAGAGGAAATATTTTAATATTGCTATTTGCCCTTTCTCTATAATAGAAGTGTCAGAGATGAAAGAAAATTAGTAAAATGTATATGAAAATCTCCATCCTTTCAGAGTCTGGGGCGCACCGTGGGATCCAGAGTCAAGTCCCCAACCACCAGTGCGAGGCTCAAAATTGCACGAGACCCAGACCCAGCCGGCCCCACCCCATCAAGCCCCGCCGGGCACTGGGATGGGGGGTGTGGCCTTAAGGCCCCAGCCTGGCCTCAGGTCCCCTGGCCCTGGCACCGGGGTTGGGGGCATGGCTTCAGGACCCCGTCAGTCGTTGCTAGGCGGGGACGCAGCCTCAGGTCCCCCAGACCAGCCTCGGGTCCCCCAGCGCCGGAGCGGGGGGTGTGGCGTCTCGGTCTCAGGTCCCCCGTCCCCCACGTGAGAGCATGAGGGCGTGACAACCATTTGCATATTAGCTGTTTTATAGGATTGATTTCAGATAGGAAGAGAGAGGGAAAGAGAGATAGAAACAATAATGAGAGAGAATCGTTGATCTGATGCATCCTGCACATCCCACCATGCCAGCCTGCAACCCGGGCATGTTCCCTGACTGGGAACCAAACCGTGACCTCCTGGTTCATAGGTCGATGCTTAACCATTGAGCCATGCCAGGCGGGCTGATATCTTTTTTTTTTTTAAGTATATTTTATTGATTTTCTACAGGGAGGAAGGGAGAGGGATAGAGAATTAGAAACATCGATGAGAGAGAAACATCGACAGATTGCCTTCTGCACACTCCCCACTGGAGATGTGCCCGCAACCAAGGTACATGCCCTTGACCGGAATTGAACCTGGGACCCTTCAGTCTGCAGGCCGACGCTTTATCCATTGAGCCAAACCGGTTAGGGCTGATTGTTTATTTTTATAACTGTTAAAAATAATAACTGCAGTGAACACCTTTGTGCCTAGATCTTGTGTGTATTTCTGTTATTTGGCTTTTATAGATTGCTGGAAGAAAAGTTACTGGGTAAGAGGATGTCAATCTTTGAAAGGCCCTTAAAGTTACATGTTACCAAATTGTTTTCCGAAAGGTGTATCACTTTACTGTCCCAGCTGTGTAATGTGTGTGCGCCTGTCTTACTGAACCCTTGAAGGATTGAATATTTCCACTTTTGAAAATTTTTGCTATTTTGTTAGGTGACAGACTTTCAGGTATGGAGTGGAGAAGTTAAGTCAGATACAGAGAATGGCATGAGCAAAGGTAGGATGTTGGCAGTGTGTGTTGCAGGATATTGACACTCCCTTACAGTTTATTCCTTACACAGCTAGCGTTCCATATTAAGCCCACTCTTGTTACCATGCCTGGCTACGTGTCATATAGTTCTCAGCTTAAATGTTGGGTAGTCATTGAGGCCTGACTGCTCAGAATTATCTCTTTCTCATTTATTATAAACCTTATCACCCTGTATTATTTTGTTTATTGCACTTAAACCACTATTTAAAAATATTTTTTTGCTTACATATTTATTGTCTGTTTCTACCATTAGAATTGCTAACTTTCTATCTTTTCAGAAAGTTCTTCCATTTCCTTTGTGGATTTTTTTTTTAGAAGTTTTTATTTTATTTATTTGTTGTTTGACTAAACATCTGGTTCCCCACCGGCTTAGGAGAATTAAATCTATTTTATTCACTGTTGTATTTAAGCATATGGCACAGTGCTGACCATAATATTTGCTCAATAAATATTTGTTGCATGTTGACAAAAAGCACTATGTGTGTATCGCTCCTGTTGTCATTGAGAATTTCTGGTTGACACTGGTCCTTTGTGGATTTGACAAAGTTAGTTAGTTGGTTATTTGAAATATTGCATAATTTTTATAGGAAGAATTAAAGGTTCTTTACCTTTGTTTCTGTAGTTCTTTATGTCTTTTTTAGTATTTCTTCTCATATTATAGTTGTCTGTCTCTCCCTTCCCCATCTTCTCTCTACCCTAGTTGTGAACAACAGGACTTGTTTCTTATTCATCTTTGTATCCCCAATTTTTGATACGTAAGGAGTACTTAGTAAATGTCCATTAAAGTAAGAGTTAATTTTAGAGTAGTGTGGATGTGTAACTGATGGAGAGGGAGTATATGTAGCATAAGGCTTAGGAGCAAAGAATTTTGTTCTCCATCACGTATTAGCTGATGTGACCGTGGTCAAGTGACTTATTTTCTCTGTGCCTCAGTTTTCGTGTCTAAAAATATGTCATAATAGTACCTACCTCATAGGTTTGTTGTAAAGATTAAATGAACTAATATATGTAAAGCACTTAGGATAGTACCTGACACTTAAATGCTAGAAAAACATTAAGTGTTATTATTAATTCTTCAGAATTTTGAGAAAATTAGGTTTTGAGAACTTTTTTGTTGCTTAAACTAGGGAGTGCACATAACATCTGGACTTCTTGGATAATCAGATAAAAACAATCTAAGCTGGGAATGAACTATATCAGAATGACTTGATTAGAGCTGTTCAGAATTGAGGTAAGACTACCCCTGGACTTACGAAGCCAGTCTATGTAATCTCTGGTTTTCCTAAGCTGCCTCTCTGTATAGATTTGTATTTAAATATTCTCAGCCACTTCTTATATTCAAGTTTCTACCCCTAGATCTACAAACTTATTTGCAATTGCACTTACCTTTCATCTTTCTTGTTTAAAAAATATGTAGAGAGAAGCAATTTTACTATTGTCTAAAGCCTGTGTTCCTGATTCCTCAGTCAGCCATCACAGGTTTTAGACCTCCCATAGATAGGCACTGGGGATACTAGAAGAATAAGACAGATGGTCCCAGCCCTCCTGAGCTTAGGTACCAGTGGGCAGGACAGATGATTTAAAGTGCAGTTATAATAAAGACAGTGTGGTAAGTACTACGGGGCTTATAGAGTGCTGCTGCAGGAGCAGAAATACTTTTGAAACATGGGAGGAAGAAATGCCCAAGGGCAGTAGAAATTGAGACAAGAGAATCCTGAGGAAAATCAACATTAAAAGATTGTGGAGAATGAAAAGTTGCTGGTGAAGGAGGTAGAAGGGAAACAAGGAGAGTCTGGTGTCACAGAAGCTGAACGGAGAAGTGCATCTCAGGACAGAGGTAGTGATCAAGAGATACTGCTAAGCAGCCAGGTAAGGTCCTTTTCCTTCTTTCCTTTTCTAATATTTGGCTCTATAAGTTATTTCTTCTGTCTAAATTCCATGTATTCCTTGTTATTTTCAGTTCAGTTCTGAACTCACACCATGAGTGTTTGTATAGTGAGTTTGGTAGGTGTGGGATACTGCATCCTCTGAATTAATTTTGTTTCTGAGTGTCAAATTAGCACAAGTTCGGGTAATTAAGGGATTTGTCTCATTTGTGTCTGCATCTATTTGCCTCTCGTGTTGGGATGGGGAAAGTTGAGGTAGCTAAGGATACTTCGGTCTCCTTTTGTCCTTGTCCAGTGAAACTAGTTCAAATCCATTTAACAAAATTCCTCGAATTCAGATTTCCTTCACTTTTCTAGGAGTTGTGTTAACGCCCTGTTGCCAACTTTGGACTTCCCATGCAGTGCTAAACCCTCTCAAATTTGATTTCTTCCTTCCTGATGAAATGGAATCTAAACTTGTAAAGCTAGTTAAAAGGCTTCTCATTGCTATGTAAGTCCAGTGAATTTTGAAGTTGTTATCTCAACTTCTAGGCAGTTTTTGACATTGTTGACCACTTCATCCTTCTTAGAATGTGTTTGTCTTTTGTGAGGCACCATATTCTTTGGTTTTCTTCGTTTCTCTGGCCATTCCTTAGTTTATTTCCTAGTTTTCCTCCTCTGACTCGTAAAAATTGGTATATTGGCTCTGTAGCCTAGGCTCTAATCAGTCATTCTGCGTATTTCCTGGGTGACCTCATTCATTACTGTGGCATTGATTAACCTAATTAAAGGTTTTGGACAGCAAGTAAGCCATAAAACACTGAAGTAAATCTATAAAGATTCATGTTTTTTTATCTGTACATTTTATTTTTTAATATATTTTTACTGATTTCAGAGAGGAAGAGAGAGATAAAAACATCAATCATGATAGAGAATCACTGATTGGCTGCTTCCTGCACACCCCACACTGGGGGCTGAGCACACAACCTGGACATGTGCCCTGACCTGAATCGAACCGTGACCTCCTGGTTCATAGGTCGAGGCTCAATCACTGAGCCATGCCAGCTGGGCTGTGCAGTTATTCAGATTATCAAAGTAGTTTCTAAAAATTGTGTTATGTGGTTCCATAAACAGTTCCAATGGAATATTTTGTTTGATAAACACTGCCCTCCTGTGGTTAAATTAAGCTAAATGTTTTTATAAAACTAGTATTTGCATTTATATTAAACCTGTGGTAAAAAAAATATTATTGCAATACACTGATAATATTGTAATAGTAATGTAATGGAATACTGTATTTTTGCTCAGAAATATATGTAGCCATGTTGTTTTCTCTTCAATTTTTCCTCTTTGGTTTCTCTAGTGTGTGTCTACATTTTTCTCATTCTGTCTTTACACATTTTCCTATTAAAAATAAGTAAATTAAAAGAGTCAAATGAAAATGAAAAATATTAAGCTATTGAAGGGAGGGAAGGTATACTTAAATGTAGACATGTTAAAACAAAAAGAGCCCTGGCTGGTGTGGCTCAGTTGGTTGCGTGTTGTCCTGTGCACCAGGAGGTTGCCTGTTTGATTCCTAGTCACGGGCACATGCCTGGGTTGCTGGGTCCATCCCTGGTAGGGGTTGTGCAGGATGTAGCCGCCCGATGTTGGGCTCTCACGTAGAAATTTCTCTCTCTTTGTAAAAATCACTATTATTTTTTAATTAAAAAATGTTTTTATTGATTTCAGAGAAGAAGGGAGAGGAAGAGCGAGATAGAAACATCAGTGATGAGAGAGAATCATTGATCAGCTGCCTCCTTCATGCCCCACACTGGTGATTGAGCCCGCAACCCGGGCAAGTACTCTGACCAGGAATTGAACTGTGACCTCCTGGTTCATGCATCGATGCTTAACCACTGAGCCACGCCAGCTGGGAAATAAATTATTCTTTAAAGAAAAAAGACCAATCAGTTATAATACATGAAATTAATAGAAATCTCCGTGGAAAAACAACAGAAATGAAAATATGAAAAATAAACTGGAAAAGTATTTGCAGTAAATGTGACAGTATAAGTTTTAACAAATTTAGTATGAAAATAGAACTCTTATTGACAAAGGAGGCAAAAGCATACAATAAAGTAGAACAGTCTCTTCAATAAATGGTGTTGGAAAAATTGGACAGATACATACTGTTTGGGTCTGTTCTGCATGTGCGCCTCCTAGTGGCTAATTTGAGAACCAGATAAGTAGTATGTTGAGGGTCGGAGCCCCATATGCATAGTTTGGGGTGACCTCAGGAGTTTTTATAGAACTTTATGATATCTCTTTCTTCAGCTCCTTTTTCTTCCTTCCTTCCTTCCTTCCTTCCTTCCTTCCTTCCTTCCTTCCTTCCTTCCTTCCTTCCTTCCTTCCTTTCTTTCTTTTTCTTTTTCTTTTTTTTTTTGCACTTTCTGGCTTCTAGAGACCCTTCTCCCTTGTCCTGTCACTGGATAACTGGATTTGTCATTTCTGTTTTGCTACACACTTCCACAATCACATCTGCCTTCCGTGCCAAGCAGCAAGATGGTAGAGAACGAATATAAGCCATGAGGATTCCCTTCACACTCATGGGACCTTTCTTGGAGGTTTAGGTCCCTGTCTATCCATTGCTATTATCATCACTGCCACAACTGCTGCCTTTAGATTGCCTGGGGACAGGGGCCAAGAGAAAGGGAAAACAAAACAAAATCCCAGAGGGTCCTCCCTCTGCTCTTCAGACCAAAAAGGAAAAGCCCTCTCTTGAAATCATTTCTGCCTGCACTTAGAGTGTAGTTTTGAGTTTGGACTGCCATTGAGTCCAGGCTGAGTAGTCCCATGTACTTCTAGTTGTGGTTTCCTCCCTCAAGCCAACTGCTACCATTTCAGAGTCCTAAGATAGCTGCTCCATGTGTTCTGTTTAGGTTTTTAGTTGTATATATTCAGTGGGAGAGACAGGATAAACTGTGCTTATTCTCTAACAGAACACAGATACCGTTTTAATTTCATTATAACTGTATTATTTTGTTTTGGTTATGCATTTTTGAGCATCCATGCTGTATTATTAGGCTTTGCTGGAAATGGATGAGCTTTAAGGTGCTTATAGTAGGTACACAGGCCTGTGATGTAGGGGTAGAGACAGAAAGTAAACATTATTTCATATTATGCACTAATAATTAATAATTGAGTTATTAATCATACCCTTTTTATCTATTTCTGCTTCAGGTTTGACTTGTTTGTGACTAAAGGAGAGAAGATCCTATTTATATTTCATTAACTTTCCAATTTTCTTATCCCAAATATAAGAGATGAAAAATCTCTGGATATGTATGTGCTGGATGAAATTAATACATACTTTTAATAAGAATAAGGAATATAGTTAAATATATAATTATAATAAGAATAAGAACTTACAATAAGAAAAATAATTTATTATTATATACTTGTTTCTCAGGTCTTAGAAAAATACCCCAATACACCCATGAGTCATAAAGAAATTCTTCAAGTTATCCAGAGAGAAGGACTAAAAGAAATCAGGTGAGTTATTTAAATATTATTAGTATTATAATTATAGTCCATGATTAGAGTATTTTATAGTATATAGCAGTGTATTTCAATCCTGAAGATTATTTAGTGATAACTGCATTGTTAATTTTTTATTTATTCAGTTGTCAGATCTTTGGCATTTTCAATCATAGCATAGTTATAAAACCAAAAGTAAGTTTTAATAAATTCTTAGAAGGTAACTATCTCTACACCCATGCACTTTAATTCTTATGCGGCCTAGAGCCATCTTCAAGCCTTCATCTATCAATTCAGGCTTTTGATTTAGTAAGTTTGGTCATTAGCAGATAAAAAGTACTCTAGTGCCAGGAGAGTGCTAGAGGTAGGCAGTCTAGGAAGAAATAACTTTGGCCACAAAGAATACAATGGAAAAGATACATATAAGGAGTATATATTTCAGATATTAGTCTTATTATATTCAAATAAAGCAGCCTGGGGTAAATTAATATAGGATTGAAGGTAAACATACTTTAATTTCTAAGAGCCTCAATTATATTACAGCTAGAGGCCTGGTGCACAAAATTTGTGCACAGGTAGAGTCCCTCTACCTGGCTGGCGATCGGGGCCGATCAGGGCCATCTTGCCCAGTCCCAATTGGGGCCAATCGGGGCCAGTGGCTGGGGAGGGACCGTGGGAAGGTTCCAGGGCATGTCCAGCCCCATCTCACCCAGTCCTGATCGGCCGGACCCCAGCAGCAAGCTAACCTACCGTACCGGTTGGAGCATCTGCCCCCTGGTGGTCAGAGCACGTCATAGTGACCGGTTGGTCCACTGCTTGGTCAGACACTTAGCATATTAGGCTTTCATATATATAGATTGTAACTCACAATGCGGAATGCTCAGCACGCACTTTCCCTCCAGCCCCTGGTCTTGGAGACCTCACGTCCTTCCTAGGCTCTGCTCACCCTCTTCAGTTGCCACACGAAGTAAATTGCATTGCATCGTGTGCGTGGAAACCCTTTGCAGGCTCCATGGGTGTGTCTTTACTTCGCTGCAGTTCTGATTACCCCAACATAAGGAGAGACACCCTCATTATCAGGTAACACCATCGTGGTAAGACCCCTGCTCAGCCTACTGCAGCGGTTTTAAATAGGCCATCGATCGCCCTAGATGGTTTGGTTCAGTGGATAGAGCCCCGGCCTGCGGACTGAAGGGTCCTGGGTTCGATTCTGGTCAAGGGCACATTCCTGGGTTGTGGGCTCAATCCCCAGTAGGGGACATGTGGGAGGCAACAAATCGATTCTTTCTCATCATTGATGTTTCTATCTCTCGCTCTCTCTGCCTTCCTCTCTGAAATCAATAAAAATATGTTAACAAAAATAAAAATAAATAGGCCATGAATTAAACGTCACTGCTTTCCATCCATCCAGTCCCCTCACACCTCTTTTGTCTTTGCCGCCCCCCCCACACACACACACACACACACACTGCTGGGGGGGTCTGTAAAATGGGGTCAGGATTTCTACTTCAACCAAGGGCGATGTTTCTGCACGGCCCTCCTTCCCCACCCATCTCTGTCCCCAGTCCTGTGGGGTCTCTCCCTCCCTTCCATCTAACTTGGTGGGCCCTGCCTTGCCCCCTCCTCCTACGACCTTTTGTCTGAAGCCTCCCCCTTTCTCCTCTGGGGGTGGAGCTCCCCAAAGGCTCTGCGAGGGCGGGGTGAGGCTGTGCAGGGCAGGGCTGTGTGAGGCGGGGCGGGGTTGTGCAGGGCGAGCCCAGGTGGGGCCTTGGAGGAGAGCTAGGGTGACGGGTCATGGGGGGTTAAGGGGGGACAGGGAGGGACGTGGAGCCTGTCCCCTGGGAGAGGCATCGGGCTCCTCGGCTGCCCCCACCCAGCAGCTTTTCTAGGCCCCTGCGCAGCTGTCACCCTCTGCCCCTCACTGCCTCCTGCTTCCTTTCAAATTTTGGACTTGGTTTCTCCAACTCGGCCCCGCCCCCCACACTGCTGTGTCCCTGGGATTCCGAGGCCAAGGCGTGCCTGGCCTGTCCCCTGTAATGGTGCTACCCACTCTCCTGGAGTAGTTAGTGAAACTTAACAAATAAAAAGAAGCATCTCAGAAGATTATAAGTTGTTCACTGCGAACACCACAGGCTGCTAATGACCATGCCAGCCTCCCGCGCCACTGGGACCCTCCTGGCTCCTGCCCCCGCCCTCCTCGCCTGAGGCTTGGGCCAAACCCTGGGAGCTTCCTGACAGCTCTCACCTCACACCTCACTTTCCAGTCCAGCCCATTAGCGCCCGCAGCAAGCTAACCTGTCAGTTGGAGCGTCTGCCCCCTGGTGGTCAGTGTACGTCATAGCGACTGGTCCAGCGGTCGAACTCCCAGCAGAACTCTGGTCAAGGGGACAATTTGCATATTAGACTTTTATTATATACTAGAAGCCCAGTGCGAGAAATCGCGCGGCCCTGCCCACCGGCACGCATCACCATGCTGGCAGCCCCGCGCACCCGCGTGCACCCCACCCATGCCCTCGCAGCCCTGCCCACCCACACAGGCCTTGCTGCCAGCCTTGCTGCGATCGGAGCCTGTGGGCTGTGCCCTGTGAGCCGTGAGCCCCACCCCACCACCACAAGCAACTCACGGGCGAGGGGGGGAGGGACCAAGAGGTGCTCCATGCACCTCCTGGTGACCAGTCATTGGGTGTTATGGCGTTATGGCCATGGGCTTTGTTATAATATAGATAGGATAGGATATAATAGTCACTGTCCATAATTAAGACCCCTTGTCATAAAAAAATGTTAAAATTATGTTCAACATAATTTGTAGATTAAGGCAGAAATCTGGGAGTCTACATTAGAGATATTTTCATTGAGATAGAAAAGCTCGTACTTTAAAACTGCTACTAGTTGTTCTCAATGGGAGGCCGTATTATTTAACACCCTTAGGGAACGTGTTCAGAATTTTGGGGAGCTATTTTTGGGGGGGGGAGGGGAACTTTTTTTGATTGCCACAATGACTAGAAAGTAACAGGGATGCTAAATGTCTTCCATTGAAAAATTGTTCACCTCAAATGCCAGTAGTATTCCTATTGAGAAATAGTGAGTTATGCTGATACACTTGTAAATAAACAACAAAATATTGTAGATTTTCATTCTCATTTTCTTTTCTTTACCATGAAATTCAATTTGAGATTTTTTTTATTGCCTTTCTTTGCTAATGAAGTTAAAACTTTTGACTTGTGGCCAAATGTTAGTAGGTTGGGAATAAATTAACTTTGCTTTATTAATATAAAACAATGAAGTATAAATTAGTATAACTTGCTTTATATAATGTATGCCCCTGAAAAATTGTGTGAACATTTATAAATTAAAACATTAAAATGTATTTGAAATATGTTAGCTCTTAAACGTACTTTTTGTAAATTATTTTAAAATGTATCAATGATATAATTTCAAGTTGTTATTTAAATTAGTCATATTAGATTAGAGTTAAAGCACCATACCCATTTAATCACAGATCAGTTTGTATAAGGCTATAGGAGAAGAGGATAAGTGATTATTGTGATTAAGGAATGAATTAAGTTAAGGTATTCTAATATCCGTTTATAACACTATTGGGTCTGATAGAATGGGATGAGCTAGGGATTTCATTTCTTTTCATAAAATTAGACTTGATACACACTGGGGAAATCGGTCAGGAAATCTGGTATGTAGAGATCAGACTTCACCAGTCCTTTAGGTCAAAATGCCAATTGCAGGTTCATCCAGCTCTAACATAGTAAGGCTCTGTGACTTTAAACTTGTCATTATCATTTCTAGGGAGTAGGCAAGAATAGTAAATAAGTAAAGAAAGTAAATAAAAAAAAGAACAGAAGGAAGAACTTATATGTTGGTGCAGTTACGTGACCACAACACAGTTCTTTTTAAGTCATCAGTGACTTATATTTTGCCAACTCCATGGGACTTTTAGTTCTCACCTCTCTTGTCGGCATTATTTATCACAGCTGACTACTGCTTCCTTCTTGAAACTGTTTTGTTGCCTGAAGTGACCACAAACATTCCTGCTTTCCTTCCTCTCTAAGTTTTTCTTCTCTCTTTTTCTCATTACCTTCTCTCCAACTTAACGTGTACTTTCGTCCATTCTCATAGCTTTAAATGCCAGTTTTGGCTTGTCAGTTCCCAGATATGTAGGCAATTTGCTGCCCACTGCAGCCTTGATGCCTGCTGATGCTTTAGCAAGGAATGTGCTTTCCCTCACTTAACTCTTATTTATTTTTCAGGTGTCAGTTTGAATGTCTTTTTCAGAAAACTTTGACTTTCTGGTCTAGATTACATTTTCCTTTTTTAGTTTATTATAGTGTTCTGTGTTGTTTCTTCATGGCACTTAAGGTTTAAAATTACATATTGTTGTGATATTATGTAGCTTCTCTATAGTTGAAGCTAGCTCCATTAGGGCAGTGGCACTGTTTGCTCTTCCTGCCCCGCCCTGCCTCTCCCCTCCCCCATAGTCTTTGGCATATAACTGATATTGAAAACCTATTTATTAATGAATGTATGAAATATAAGTTGGAAGATCACATCCAAATGTAGTTATAACTTATTCTCTTGTTGCTGTGATATGTCAAATGGTAATCTTATAATCTTTAAAGTTTTTAGACAGGTTATAGAATGAAATGGATACTGTGCTTATTGAAGATGTGCTATTTTTTTACAGTTTTATTTTTATTTCCCAGTCCTCAATACATGGATTTCAACACTTTTTCCCTTTGTAGTTTTTTTTTTTAAAATATATTGTATTGATTTTTTACAGAGAGGAAGGGAGAGGGATAGAGTTAGAATCATCGATGAGAGAGAAACATCAATCAGCTGCCTCCTGCACACCTCCTACTGGGGATGTGCCCGCAACCAAGGTACATGCCCTTGACCGGAATCGAACCTGGGACCTTTCAGTCCACAGGCCGACGCTCCATCCACTGAGCCAGACCAGTCAGGGCTCCCTTTGTAGTTTTTTGTCTGCTTTCCCATTTTGAAGAACTTTGCTTAATTTGTTTCGGATGTTGATGAGTATATAGTTCCTGGTGTGTTACAGAATTTAAAAATCCTTTTTCTTTTGTGATAAGATACTTTGACTTATGTTACAGCCTAAGTTTATAAGTCAGGTACTGAAAACAGTTTTTTAAATATAAAGGTTTACTTTTGGAAAATTCCAGACTAAAAAGTGTGCATTGTCCAGTATAA